CTCTGGCTTTGGCTCAGTATGAGGACCTTTTCTAGCTTGTTAGTGGTTACCTTTATGGCGCAAGAGGGGCTCTGGTTTGTATGATCTCGGCCTGCCAAGAGGGTGCACTTTGGTTTCTTGGTATTTTGTTAGTCACTCCTTAGAGGGGGGGCTCATGCTTATTGATGGGGAAACCTTAGCGGCCATAACTTGATAGACGAACCTTTAAAAGGCTTCATAGTGAACCCTGCCGACCTTCCTTGGTAGTGGGTCAAGGGGCTGATCACCTCAAGCGAAATGGTAAATCATGACTCACAGTGAAAGTGTAGAACCTCTGTAGAGTGTAAAACTGGTATATCAGTCGTGCTCACGGTCACGGGTGGCCTTGGAACCCTTACGGAATAGATGATCACTAATGGTTAATGATGATAAACACGGATGATACTAATGATAAAGATGCTCACTAATGATTATCGTTTATACTATTCATTATTTATGTTTACCTGATCATGTGTTTATATGGGTTTGTGATAAACTTGTTGCACTACTAAAGAAATGGCCTGTAGTCCCGGTTCTCAACCCCTTTAATCCCGGTTTTGGAACTAGGACTATGCAATCGGGACTAAAAGTCTTGATTTTTAGTCCTCGTTCCTCCAACCGGGATTAGAGGTGTTTATTGGGTAAAAAAATGTTGCAGCTGTGGAGATTCGAACCTACGACCTCCCACTTTAGCTCTTGCACGCGTTACCATCTCACCTACCACCACACATTTAACTTAGATAAGATACGCTTTTCTTTTAAATTCAGTTTGGAGACACCTTTAGTCTGGGTTTGAGACATAAACCGGGACTAAAGGTACCTTTAGTCCAGGTTCGTGTCTCAAACCGGGACTAAAAGTCACACTTTTAGTCTGGGTTCATGTCTCAAACCGGGACTAAAGATTCTCGCACTAACGTGCCTCGGACACACCTCGGTAACCGTTGGGCAGGGACCTTTAGTCCCGGTTGGAGCTACCAACCGGGACTAAAGGTTTCTTTAGTCCCGGACCCAAAAAATACCAGGACTAAAGCCAAATTTTGAAGTGGATCAAAAGTTATTTCTCTACTAATGTTGCTACACCTATGCTAAAATTATAACAATTAAAACTAATCGCAGTTAAACCAGTGTCAGTCTTTTTGAGCCTGATGAACCCCATGTTATATTTATTGAGTACGACATGGACTTACGCTTGCTTTACTTTTCAAATATTTAGATGAAAATCCTGGATGGGTACCAGATTGCTAGAGTTTGGAGAAATTAGGCTTGTGATCAACCAGTCAGTTGTCCATGTGGATTTGAAGTCTTCACCCAAAGATCGGAGTTACCTTTTTGCTATTTGCTATCTAAGGTTATATTATTTATACTAAGTGCGTTATATATTGAGCATTATCTTTCGATATTACCCTTATTTGTAGCTATATGTGAGATTTGACTTCCTAGGCTCATATATGGTGTGTATCTGTTTTGTTCTTAAAACCGGGTGCTGCAATATACGACTAATTAGCTAGTTATGACGTTAATTAGTGTTTTATCTTTCCCCTCTTTTATTCCCATTATTACAATGATTTTGTTCTATGAATTAGATAAGTTGGGTAGAGATTGCGACTTAGGGCTATTTTTTTCTTTCACTATAATTTCCAGTATCATTTTATACTTTTAACTTTCTTTTGTATAGTAAAATAAATATTGATTTGGTTATTATTTATACTCTTGCTAATTCAATATACATATATTAGTATGTACACGCACATATTTTTATCATATGTGGTTATCATTGGTATACCAAAACGCCCCCTATGGTCAAATTGGCTCGTATGACCGAATGTCCTTTCCTTTTATCTTTTTTCTGCTATAGATATGTGCTCAAAGCCTTAAACTCAAGCAATTAAAAATGAGAAGCCTCAAATTTGGAAACACAAAGAAAAGCCTAAAAAAAGATGCACTCCCTGACTACTTCTGACAAACATGAAGAAATGCAAATTTTTTTAGCTCCAACTCATGATCTAATTTTCATCAAATTTGGTCTACTTCAATATCTCAGAATAAATAACTCAATTGACCACCAACATATTTCCTAGGAAACACACACAAGAACGAGTAGCAATATCGCGTTGCTAGCCGCTTCATCTATTACCAACATATATATATATATCTCTTGTAGGGTTGCAACACTCCGTAGTAGTCATACATACTTTTCTGCTATTTTAGTTTGCAATAGCCAAGAATCATGAGCTCTTCATGCCATTTCTGAGTTCTTCAAGCGTTTTTGTTTGCAATAGCCAAGAATGGATAGCTCTTCATGCCATTTTTATGAGTATTTTCTGCTATTTTAGTTGCAATGGCCAAAAATTGTGGGCTCTTCATGCCATTTCTATGAGTGGTACTACTACCACAATATTTTTTCACTAGTGAAATTAGAACGTTTCTATTTCATTTTTACCCTGTTCTTTAGCACTACTTCAGCAGTACTTTTCAGCGAACGAACAATGCTTTTCTCTCACAACAAATCAGCATAAGCCAAATTTTAGTGAAATGACCAGGGCCATATGTTGAAAACAGTACCATTGCTAGTATGCTACGGAACACTAAGCACAGTCAAACGGATTCATGGATGTACACCATGCATGGACATGCCACATAGTCATAGATCATAAATCCCAATAATTGCAACCAAAATGCCTTTTTACAACAAATATTTAGGTCTAAAATGGAGTATATATTTCAGATAAAAAAGTTACACACATCAAGCACCTTCAGCTTGACGGCCCTCAGGCTCGGCATGCGCCCGATCAGGGTGCCTTGAAATGGATTGGGAAGGTGGAGCCTTTTACTATATGGAGCGCATAGTTTTAAAGGCGTCGCCTAGGCGTCCAGGCGTACCCAGCTCGCCTTGGGAAACAGTGTCGCCTTGTCCCCTAGGCGTCGTCTAGGCGCCGCCTAGGCATCCAGGCGTACCAAGCATTCGCCTGGATGCCTAACTGCCTTTAAAACTATGATGGAGCGGGATAAAAATGGGGTTGTTTTCCACCCATTAACAGGTCTACTTCTGTTCTCATAAACCGCAGTCGCCCCTATAATTCGGTACAAGAAGAAAGGAACATAATAAAATTGAAGGAATATGTGCATACGACCAACATCTTGGAGTTAATGTGCAAGTTATTTGTGGCTTATCCTGGTTAGAGATGGCAATATTGAATTCCCCGTCGGGAGTTTGACCATTTGACGGTGAAGCTACTACGGATACATCAAGAAAGATATGTCCTATCCAAATAACATGCATGTACTGTATTGTACATTCCATATGTTGTAGAAATTGGCTCTCCATGCAAAAATGTATATTTGAATATATAAATCTCAGTCATGTTGCTGTGATGTCATATTCAATTCAAGCACTGTGGTGATGGCTAAAACTTCCACGAGAAGTGATTGACTTATTCCAACTTTGAGCATTACAACGAGTTTGGAAATAAGAAGAAAAGCCTCCAAAAAGGTGCACTGTGTGCCTACTTTTTAGAAACGTGAAGAAAAACAAAATTTTTAGCTTTGACTCATCCTCTCTTTTTCATAAAAAATTTGGTCTACTTCAATATCTCAAAATAAATAACTCAATTGACCACCAAAAGATTTCCTAGGAAACAGACAAGAACGCGTAGCAGTATCGTGTTGCTAGCCGCTTCATCTCTTACCAATGTATATATGTTGCAGGGTTGTAACACTCCGTTGTAGTCATGCATACTTTTCTGCTATTTTAGTTTGCAATAGCCAAGAATTGTGAGCTCTTCATGCCATTTCTGAGTTCTTCAGGCATTTTAGTTTGCAATAGTCCTTCATGCCATTTCTATGAGTCTTTTCAGCTATTTTAGTTTGCAATGGTCAAAGATCGTGGGCTCTTCATCCCTGTCTCCGTCTCTGTCCCCACGTGGGCAATAATCCCCGTGAGGATCCCTATCCCCACATGATGCATCACGGAATATAGCCATAGGTGACAACTTTTGACATAACCACATAAGTACGTAATTGGTGAACTACAATGCACACATATAATCCATTGTTAATACTCTAGCACAGGTATACATAAATATACACACTACGTAACAAATACACAAATACATCAAAATTATAGTGATACCTACGTGTGTGTAGGGAAAACAAGCCGGGAATGTGGGACCATCTACTCCTATATTCCTCCAAAAGACCAAAACGATTGCGAGACTGCAAGTGCATGGAATTTGTTGCAACCCCAATAGCCTTTGCCAGCTCAAAATGCAGTGATTGTTGGGTTTGAATCCAGTCGAAAATTATAAGTAGAACGGAGATATAGTGCTACGGCTCTTTGAGAAAAGGACGGCTTCGGCTGAGATTCTACAGGTAACTTCTTCAATCTTCACCACCATATCAGTTATTGAGCTATTATCCATGCAAGTGACAATCTGCACCTTCTCAAGTTAAAGATTCAAGCAAACAGAACTTGACGTAGAGAAAATTAGGTAAGCCTTGTGAAGAGAAAACCCTTGAGGCAATCACTGAAATATATAGGAGTTGTGCATTCGCATCCTTGGATTTAAAACCATGCATTCCATGACAGTTACCATTTTCCAGTAGTTTCAATAGTACTCTTCAGTCTTCAGTTCTTCACCGAGGGAAGAACATCCCGTTCCTGTGCCTCAAACGTGACAAAAAAAAAATCCTAGTAGCAGTCTGAAAGCGTTCTTCAGTGAGAGATGTTGCAGCTTACCAAGCAGACAAACAAACTCAAGATACTTGGCAGTTCAATATTCAGATTTGGCAGGCTAAATAGTTCAAATATCACCATATCACAAAAGAGGAATAGCCCAAGGGCAACAAATTCTTACACAGGTTTCTAGCTCAAGCATAATAAGTCTGAGAAATGAGCAAATACAGTTTGCTGTCTCAAACTGAAAATATAACTGTTACAACCGAATCGGCACACTGCGCCCCAAATTGGTTGGGAGCTTTTCAGTTCAGGGGGACTGACTTCCCCTTGGTGAACCACGGCGCTCGTCATCGCTGTTGTTGCCCTTGGGACTTGGGCTACGGTCATCCCTAGGGCTCGGGCTGCGCCCATTGACCGCAGGGCTACGGTAGCCATCAGATGGGCTCCGACTCCTCTTGCTGTTCTCCCTGGCCCCAGGGCTGTCTTCACGGTCTGAGCCGTTGCGTGCACCATTATCCTTTGGTGGTGGGCTCACATCATCCCTTGGGCTGGGGCTCCTTGGGCTCCTGCTGCCATCAGGTGTGCGGCTGCGCTCCTTTTCCTTTGCAGGTGAGACAGAACGCCTAGGGCTTGCGCTCCTGCTGTAGCTAACACTCCTTGATCTCCTCTCGTCACGGTCACGGCGTCCACCCCTCGGAGATCCAGACGGGGACCTGGATCGGCTGATTGTAATAGAAGGATTGTTAACACAAGCTGGTTTACAAACAGAAATGAAAGATAAAAAAGAATAAAAAACAACTAACACAATCGAAAAAGCCTATAGAGAAATAACACACGAGGGGTTTCCTTTCCTGAGCATACCTATAGCTCCGGCTTTTGCTGTAGCTCCGGCTGCGGCCCCGTCCACGGCGTGGGGATGGAGACCGTGAATAGCTTCTCTCACGCCTAAACATATTTATCAAGCAAATGCTTAGTAAAAGCATTCAATGTTAAGCTAAAATGTGATTAAGTGCCATATGGCAGCGGAATGCAGCTGAATAGGCTTATATCAATGAACACCTGAGATTCCTTGGACTGTTCTGGCAATTTCTTTCGATATGGCCCCTTTCGCCACAGCGGTAGCATTTGTTCTTCCAGTCACCAGCCTTGCAATCTCTTGCCCAGTGACCATCAATTCCACAGTTAAAACAACGACCTGTTCCTGGTGGAGGTCCTCTTCCCATATATTCACGTGAACCACCAGAACCACGAGGAACCTGCAAACACGAGTTATTTTGGAAAAATCATAAGTTCAATATCGATATGCTCGTTTCAGCGGAAGCTTGATAAACAGAGAGATTTTGATAGGACACCAACTTACCCCTTTAGCAAATTCAACAATAATGCGGCTTCCATCAACTTCCCTGCCATCTAGGTTGTACTGCGCATCATCAGCATCTTGGGGGTCGCTGAATTCCTGTTTTGCAATTAACCGGACAAAATAAAGAATCAAAACATAAAATAAATGTGTGTTCTCAATTTCCATAATATGAGTTCGCTAACATTAAAATGCTAACAGTTGCAGAATTGAACTGAGGGTAGTAAAGAACACATACAATGAATGCATAGTCGCGCTTCAACTCCACTTCACGTATTCTGCGCAAATGGTTTCCACAAACAGTAAGCTGACATGAGTCAAGTACTCAAATGCATCATCAACTTGCAACTTCATCTACAACAGTCAATAAGATTACACCAAGGGCGCCCTTCACCAAAGTCCTCCACAAATTTCGGAACAATGGCCACCAATTCCACCAAGGGCACCCTTCCACCACAGACCTCCATGGTTGTGTAAAAAACCGACAACCTTCAACAAGATCATTCAAGTCAAACAGGCCCGGAGGTCAAACATCTATGTTGTGCTTAGTGATGTAACAGAGCATACACCAAGAAAGAAAAAAGACTTGTACGACCCCATCCACAAAAACCTCAGAATGACTTGAAGCATCACGAAACCCAACAACTTCATAAACCACATATGATGAACACAATAGGAAGGACCCTAGCTTTGCTAGTGTATTTTAGTTGGATTGATGTGTAGCTGTGTACCGCAAAATTAAACCGCGCAGAGTTAGCATCAACTGCTCATGATATGTACTAGGACAGAACTGGTGTCTGACCCTCATAACAAAAAGTAACACACTCCAAACTTCAGAATAACTCTCTGTGGTTCTTACCTTCCATATTTGCTGAAAAGATATTCTAGGTCGCGGGAACGGGTGCGGGGGGCCAATCTTCCAACATACAAGCGTGTATTCCCATGGCGATCGTCATAGCGAGGCATATCTCCTGAACAAATAAGAGTATTCCATCAGTATTGTATAATGAAAAAAAAGTATAAAATCTGGCTTAAGTAGACACAATATGATTTGAACCCTATAGTTAAGAGACAGTAAATAGAGTAAGAACATATATCTGAACCCTCTAAATAATTCGACAAGCCAACTAGAAAATTGAACCCAGGCTCAATCTACACAACTAAAAAGTTGGAACATCACAGCAATTGCAGCATCTAACATCGCAAGCTGTAATAAGAAGCTGAAGCCCCCTCGCACCATATATCAGATACAAAGTTAGCTAAGACACTAAGTAGAAATCAGGAGCAACCAAAGGGGTGGGGTGGGGGCATGAATTATACGCCTATTACTCAAGCTGCAAAGACCCCTAATCGCTGAGGTAGTAAATAAATCTGAGATCCGAGCAAGATCGTTCCCCAGCAAAACCCTAAGCAACACGCCGGGCAGGTAAATCACGAGCTCATCAGCCCAAGAAGTTGGAATATGCCGCCCGGAAATTACCAAAAGACAGCCAGGACGGAGAGTATTATATTATTTACAAATTCCTCGAACAACGCGGGGCGCTCAGGAAAGCAAATCGATACTTACTCTCCAGCGCGCAGCAAATCGAACGTCAAACAAAAGGCAATATAAATCCGATGCAAACAAGACGCAACGATTGAAAAAAAAAAGATTCCAGGGCTCGCAGCAGAGCGGAGATCCAGCGGAACACGATGAGCAAGCCGCCGGGTCCTTACCAACAACAAACGGGAAGACCGCGAGGGAAACTAGTACAACTCTTGAGGAGAAAGAGGGCGGGGCGGCGGAGGCGCACGGTGCACCTGGATCTGGATCGAGGTGGGCGCTTCCGGCGGCGGCGGCGGCGGCGGCGGCGCGGAGGGGAAGAAGGAGGATTTGGGGGGAGAGGGTGTGCGAGGAGCGGGGTGGGGAACAGATATGGTTTGGTCTGGTCTGACTCCAACTCGCTACTCGCCTCGTGGCTGGTGCTGACTAGGCCAGGCCCAGGCCTTCCTTTCCGGCCCGTGGGCCGAAACGTGGAGCAGGCCCATCATCCGTTCCAGCTCGCCCCGGCCCTGCACGACAAGAGGAGGATTTCCACGTTTCCACCTCCACCGCCGAGGCTCTGTAGAATTCAGATCCCTCCCACCACATCCGTTCCCTCCTCCCCCCTCCTCTCCTCTCGTGCGCCGCCGGCTCTGCCCAGATCCAGGTACCCCCATCCTCCCGCCGCCCCCTCCTCTCTCGTCTCCCGCCGCCGAGCGTGCGCCGTACAGCTCGCTCTCCACGGCGGGTCGCGTCTTCCTCCACGTTCCGCAGGGCCGCGAATCGGGAGTTCGGCGGGACGTTCGTTCGATTCTGGCTTGCTGCGCTGCGTGGTGGCGGTCACGTGCCCGTCGGTGTTTGTATTCCAGAAGCGATTCTAGGGTCAAGATGAACCCCCGTGCGCCCCGCGTGCGGTTTGACTCGGGGATTTGTGAGCCTTTGGCCCCGCGCGATCTACAGACGTTAGGGTTTTCGAGGGTCGCTTAGGGTTTTGTTGGGGGATTAGGCTGTTCTGGGTCGGGTCCGGTGGAGGGTATCTAGTGCGAATTTTAGTTTCTGTCACCTCGAATTGAACTGTTGTGGAATTAGAGACAGCAACAGCCAACAGGTCCACCCTTGGAATGAAACCACAAGGCTTTAGACCTTATATTATTTTGGTGATGAAGGGCTAGTACAGTTGAGCCCAAATCTATGGGGATTAATTCTATCCTAGGGAAATACGCTGTATGGTTGCTCTCATAAGTGATGGGCACCAATCAACCATGACCATGGAGGCCCTCCAAGTCGCAATTTCTGCTGCCCTCTTTGTTGATACTCTCTTGCTCATGGTTTTTGTTGCAGGACTAGACTGAGGTCGGGGAATTCTAGTCTAAATTTTTGGTTTCTGTTACCTTGAATTGCATAGTGTTGCAACTGTATTGCAGCTGGCAACTACTGACAACTGCTTCTCACAATGAAGTAACGAGGCTTTCGACCTTTAGCGAAGGGCAAATACAGTTGAGCCCAATCCCTTGGGGAACAATTCTATCGGATGGTACTGTTCACATAGCAATTTATGTACAGTGGTTCTCATGATTAATGGCCAGCAGCCAACCTTATTAGTTGGGTTGCTACGTGATACGACTCTTTGGGGGGGAGGGGGGGGTCTCCGTGTTGCAATTGCAGCTGCCAGCTTTGTCGATTTTCTCTTGTGATGTGAGGTCGCTATGGATATATGCACTGTCATCAGAGACTGTCCAAGGCAACAGTGAAAATCTTCTGGTCTAGCACCTACCATTCATATAGGGCTCTGATAGATTGTTTGTACTCCCACCACTTGCTATCGCTCAACCGTATTGTTAATTCAATTCTGTGTAGTTGTGTTCTGTCACTTTATTCATTAAGTTCTTGATGAAATAACTGATAAGTGTTTTTGCTTGTGGGCAGGAGATATGCCTCGCTATGATGACCGCAATGGAGGCACGCGCTTGTATGTTGGCAGATTGGCCCCCCGTACTCGTTCCCGTGATTTAGAATACCTGTTCGGCAGATATGGAAGGTAAGAACAGCACTATGCGCACTCAGAGGTTGCCAAGAGTATCCAGAAGTAGAAGGATGTTGCAATGCTTTACTTTTGTCAAAAAAAAAAGTGATAATTTGTTATAATGGTAAACACAAGTTTTGTGCAATGAACCTATAGCTTATCATGGGAAGTCTGAGTCAGGATACTTGGTTTCGGTGAAACATTTGGGCTGTCATTATGTTTGGTCTGTAGAATGTATGTGAGGATGTTCTCCTTCCCTTTTAATAGGTAGTTGATACCAGGTGTCAGGTAAAGTGATAAGCTACTTGTTAAATTCGCTATCAGTGGGTAAACAGTGATTGGTCTGGACTGGTGGATGTGCAAACCATCTGATAAATAGGAGAGCCTAGTAAGCTAGGGGCCCTTATTACCCTTCTCATAGGCATTTTAGCAAGTGCTGGGTTCAGTGATATTATTGAGTCTCTTCAAGTTACTTGCGGTTGAGTCTCTCTCCAAACCATTGTCTCTGGTAGTTTCTGTTACTTACATAATGTAGAAGTTTGCCCCCTCAGAAATTGTGTGTTTGACTTGAACGATCTTGTTGAAGGTTTTTCGGTTTTTACCGGGAGGTCTTTGGTGGAAGGGTGCCCTTGGTGGACTTGGTGACCATTTGGTGAAGGGTGCCCTTGGTGTAAATGTTATTGACTGTTTTAGTGGAAGTTCCAAGTTGGTGATGCATTTGAGTACTTGACTCATGACGGACTTACTGTTTGTGGCACCCCTTTGCAGAATACGAGAAGTGGAGTTGAAGCGCGACTATGCATTCATTGTACGTTAATTTTACCTCCCTCAATTTAATTCAGTAGCTATTTACATTTTCTGTGTTAGCATGCTTTTTATTTTGTGGGAAATATATTTTTATATACATGATTTTGTCTGTTTTGCTCTGCTCCAAATTACCATACAGGAGTTCAGTGATCATCGTGATGCAGATGAGGCTCGATACCAACTAGATGGCAGGGATGTTGATGGGAGTCGCATTGTTGTTGAATTTGCCAAAGGGGTAAGTTGCCTCTTCAATTACATGATTTCTGAATGAACTGATTATAATTTTATCGTCCTTTTTTTTTATCACTCAAATTACCATGCGTATTTTGATTGGATTTGCTTACAATCTTGTGTGTAACTTGTGCTTGCAGATCCCACGTGGTCCAGGTGGCTCACGTGAATATATGGGAAGAGGCCCTCCACCAGGTACAGGCCGTTGTTTCAACTGTGGAATTGATGGTCACTGGGCAAAAGACTGTAAGGCTGGTGATTGGAAAAACAAATGCTACCGTTGTGGAGAAAGAGGGCATATAGAAAGAAATTGCCAGAACAGTCCTAGGAGTATCAGGTGCTTATACTGATAATATTCTTGTCCTCCAGCCCAATGCTATCTAACATAAATTGTTGAACCATAGCCTATCTGTTAACGGTATTACCTGAAAATGATCTTTATGAATATGTATATTTCAGGCGTGAAAGAAGTTACTCACGGTCCCCAACTCCACGCCGTGGAAGGGGTCGCAGTCCAAGCTATAGCAGAAGCAGGAGCCGGAGCTATAGGTATCATGTTTTTTCCTTGAGCAGTTGAGCTGTTTGTTTGTATTGGTTATTTTTTTTATTGTTTCTCTGGTATCTGGTTTTTGTTATATCGCTTGTTTTAATATTCCCTTTTTATTATCCTCAGCCGATCGAGATCCCTGTCTGGATCTCCTAGGGGAGGTCGCCGTGACCGTGACGATAGGAGATCAAGGAGTCTCAGCAGGAGCCCCATGCGATCTGCCTCACCACCTCCAAAGGAAAAGGAGCGCAGCCCCACACCTGATGGAAGCAGGAGGCCGAGGAGTCGCAGCCCCCAGGATCAGGTGATGAGCCCACCACCAAAGGATAATGGCGAAGGCAATGGTTCAGACCGTGGCGACAGCCCCAGAGGGAGGGAAAACAGCAGGAGCAGGAGCCGCAGCCCATCCGGTGGTAACCGCAGCCCTGCAGCTAATGGGCGGAGCCCGAGTCCTAGAGGTGACCGTAGCCCAAGCCCCAAGGGCAATGGTAACAACGACGATGATGATGCTGCCCACGGTGGTTCCCCAGCAGGAAGCAAGTCACCTTGAACGTTGCCCCTCCCCGTCTGTGGTGCTTCGTGATGCAATGGGCAGATTCTATCGTCAGCTATTTTTACTACCATATATCAAAGACATGATAACCGCATCTTTTTCCTGTCTGAAACGTGGACTTATTTTGCTTGTTTTGAGCTAGCACTCTTAATTCTTCTCTTATGGATATGATATGATGCCTTCGGGCTGGCTTGCATCTGAATAAGTGAATGTTCGCGTGTTGTGTGCCATGCTGATACTGCCTGATGAGTGCTGCAATGCTAGTGTCAGTCTTGTTGAGTCCTGAACAAAAACAACTGAACGGAGTTGTTTTGTTACAGTTAGGCCATGCCTTCTTTTTTTCCCTGCTAGTTGGTGAGTGAGTGGTGATACAGGTGCACGGCAGAGTTGTTGTGCGACTTGTGCTTGCCGCTTGGCCGAGTCTTGCACGTCCTTGCCGGTCACCGCTCCGGTCTCCGAATTTTTTATTTTTTAGTCCTTTTTTTAAAAAAAATATTTACAAATAGATCCCTGGTAGTTTGATTTTCGTTTAGGTCTTGGCGAGGTGCCAAATGTGGCGGACCTGACGCTGAGCTGTTACCTTATAGATCTAAGAACATGTAATAATGTCGTTGCGGTTTAGCTGGCTAGGACGCGCACGACTTAGCTCAAAGGTCTAGATTTGAACCCCAGCGCTGAATCTTTTTTTGCTATATTTTTATAAGCAATAGAATAAGAAAAATTATTTCGAGAAACATGTTATATCTCAGTTGCAGTAACAGTCTTTCGATTGGATTTTTTTTTTCCATTCGCTGGTGATTCCTCGTGTTGGCGCCCAAACGCAAGCTGACGAAGCTACAGCAAGAGATGGCGCAATCGATCGAGTCCCTGAAAACCTCCATGGACACCATGGCGACGCAATAATTCGCCTGGTTTCAAGAGATGACGAAGACCACCTTGGCCAAGCTAAGCATGCTGGAGACACGGCGTCCTTCCGCAGACAAGTCATTCGAGACTTTGCTGCAGAAGACGACGGAGACGACCTCCCATGTGATGACGCAGTTGGAGGCCCGCTCACCGCCGGGTCCACCTCTGCGTCCTCATCCTCGGCCACCTCCACCAACAGGATGGCTCGATTTGAACCTCATGCCCACAACGTCGACACGGCGTGCGACGTCGAGCGCGGAAACGCCCCATGGGCACGACCATCCACACAGCAACCGGGATGTCGGCGCCGGGATCCTCCGATCCTCGCCGCCACACCTTCTTTGCCCGCGAACAAGAAAAATTATTTCGAGAAAAAAAGATTCAGCGCTGGGGTTCAAACCCAGGTCTTTGAGCTAAGTCTCGCGCGTCGTAACTAGCTGAACCTCAACGGCGTTGTTACATGTTTCTCGGAATAATTATACTTGTTTCGTTTCAAACACCAAGATCTATAAGGTAACAGCTCGGCGCCAAGATCTACAGCGCAGCGCCGAGACCTTGTCCACGTCGGCGTCGAGTCACCGTCACGTTCGATGCCTCGCCAAGACGTGTTTCCTCGACGCCAAAAGCCATGGCGCCGAGGTCAAAGTCTATAAACGAAAATCAAACCACCAGATGTTTATTTATGAATATTAAAAAAAAGCTGAAAAATAAAAAATTCGGTCTCCTACTCCGACTCGGCCTGCCGCCCACCCCGCGCGTGCTCCCGCTCCACTCCTGGCCTTCCTATAAGTAAACGCGCCGACGCCACGCTCTCCAATCCAAGCTCAACCACCTGCCCACCTTTGCCCGCGCAACGCAGCGCCGCAGCCGACCGGGACCCGACCGAGGTCTCCGCAGCGACACGCCACCACCAGAGCGCGCCAAGCTCGTGCAAGTGTGCAACCAACCGCCTGACGCTCGCGCATGGCGGCCACCTCCGGCCACGCCGTGGTGGTCGACATCGACGAGCCAGCCTCCTGCGGCAGCAACAGCGACGCGGCAGGCATGCGGCAGCTCCAGCCGGTGCTCCCGCCGGTGCCGTACGTGCTCCGCTTCACCGACCTCTCCTACAGCGTCAAGAAGCGTGGCGGCGGGCTGGTGGGCTGCCTCCCGTCGCGCCGGCCCAGCAACCGCCTGGCGTCCTTGGACGCGCCGGCATCATCCGACACCACCACCAACGACAACACGAAGACTCTCCTCGACGGCATCTCCGGGGAGGCACGGGAGGGGGAGCTGTTCGCGGTCATGGGCGCAAGCGGGTCCGGCAAGTCCACCCTCGTCGACGCCCTCGCAGGGCGGATCGCGCGGGACAGCCTCCACGGCGGCGGGGCCACGCTGAACGGTGAGCCACTCCACGGGCGGCGCCTGCGCGCCATCTCCGCGTACGTGATGCAGGACGACCTGCTGTACCCGATGCTCACCGTCCGCGAAACGCTGCTGTTCGCCGCCGAGTTCCGCCTTCCCCGGGCGCTGTCGGCCGACCGCAAGCGCGCGCGCGTCGACGCGCTCGTCGACCAGCTCGGCCTCGCCCGCGCCGCTGACACCATCATCGGCGACGAGGGGCACCGCGGGGTGTCGGGAGGGGAGCGCCGCCGCGTGTCGATTGGGACGGATATCATCCATGACCCCATCGTCCTGTTCCTCGACGAGCCCACGTCTGGGTTGGACTCGGCTAGCGCGTTCATGGTGGTGCAGGTGCTCCGGCGCATCGCGCAGAGTGGGAGTGTCGTCATCATGACCATCCACCAGCCCAGCGCGCGTATCCTTGGTATACTTGGCAGGCTCCTCCTGCTCTCGCGTGGACGCACCGTGTATGCCGGCACGCCGGCGGGGCTGAAGCCGTTCTTCGCGGAGTTTGGTGCGCCGATCCCGGACAACGAGAACCCCGCCGAGTTCGCGCTCGACACCATCCGTGAGTACGAGCGCAGCCCCGACGGCGCCGCCCCAATCGCCGACTTCAACGTCAAGTGGCAGCACCAGCACGGCAGCAGCGCGTCGTCCGCTGCCGTGGACAAGGACAACAAGCTGATGCCGCTGGAGCTGGCCATCGCCGAGAGCGTGTCCCGGGGGAAGCTGGTGGCCGGGAGCGGCGGGCCGGGCGGCGGGAGCGCGGTGACGGTGCCGACGTTCGCCAACCCGCCGTGGACGGAGGTGTGGGTGCTCATCAAGCGCTCCTTCACCAACACGGGGCGGATGCCGGAGCTCTTCGTGATGCGGCTCGGCACCATCATGGTGACGGGCTTCATCCTGGCCACCATCTTCTGGCGGCTCGACGACACCCCCAAGGGCGTGCAGGAGCGGCTGGGCTTCTTCGCCATGGGCATGTCCACCATGTTCTACGTGTGCGCCGACGCGCTCCCCGTGTTCGTGCAGGAGCGGCACATCTACCTCCGCGAGACCGCGCACAACGCCTACCGCCGCATCTCCTACGTGCTGGCCAACGCCGTCGTCGCGTTCCCGCCGCTGGTGTTCCTGTCGCTGGCGTTCGCGGTCACCACGTTCTGGGCGGTGGGGCTGGCCGGCGGCGCCTCGTCGTTCCTCTTCTTCGTGCTCATCGTCCTGGCTTCCTTATGGGCGGGCAGCGGCTTCGTCACCTTCCTCTCCGCGGTGGTGCCGCACGTCATGCTCGGGTACACGGTGGTCGTCGCCATCCTCGCCTACTTCCTCCTCTTCTCCGGCTTCTTCATCAACCGCGACAGGATCCCGGACTACTGGATCTGGTTCCACTACCTGTCGCTGGTCAAGTACCCGTACCAGGCGGTGCTGCAGAACGAGTTCAGCGACGCCTCCCGCTGCTTCTCGCGCGGCGTCGAGATATTCGACGGCACGCCTATCGGGCACATGACGGAGGCCGTCAAGCTCAAGGTGCTAGAGGCCATCAGCAAGACACTGGGGACCAACATGACGGCCACCACCTGCGTCACCACCGGCGCCGACGTGCTGGCGTCGCAGGCCGTCACGGATATTGGGAAATGGAAGTGCCTGCTGGTGACCGTGGCGTGGGGCTTCTTCTTCAGGGCGCTCTTCTATGTGGTCTTGCTCGTTGGCAGCAAGAACAAGAGGAAGTAGTAATAAATTAGTAGGTTGATGAAACTTATATAAATTCTGTGATACTGTGATCTAGTGACGATGAAGCAGATGTATAGCTCGAGAAGTAAACGTATTGTTTTTGTTTTTTTAAGAAATATATACACACTGTTTGTCTTTTTTTTCCAAACATGTGCTTGCCTAATGAATCAATATGTGGCTTGGTGCACAAAATTCTTAAAAGTTTGACAACAGGAACTACCAAATTATGTGTTATGCATGACTGCATCGATGAATCTGTATATATGTTTGGGTGTCCGGCCGCGTGTTTTAACATGCATGTATGCATACATGTCTGTTTCAACATTCCCCAAATATGATTGGCGTAGCAGCAAGGAGCGTGGCATGTTCTTTAAAGAAAAGCAGCAGCAAACGGTGGTAGCACTCATAGAAATAGCATGAAGACCTCTCACGGTTGCTGCCTGTTGCAAAAGGAATAGCATCTCAGTAGGCATGCCTTAGTGTTACCAACCCTATATATATAAGATACATATACATGCTGCTAGGAGATGAAGCGGCTAGCTGTTTGATATTGCAAATATGTTCTCCATGTGTTTTCTCTTTCTACACATTTCAGAAGATTTTGGTGCTATTGTTTTGGGATATTGGAGTACACCAAATTTGATGATGAAAAGGAGGCCACGAGTTGGAGCAGACAAATTTTACTAGTTGCAGCAGCCAAGTTTTCACGAGTTGTACCAGAGAAAATTTCTTTATTTGCGTCTTGCTCTGCTTTATGTGCTCCTAGTTCATCTCGTTTAATTCCCCGTTGCTGCTAGAGAACAAAGATGAAATGAAACAGAGAAATTTACGCAAGAAGACACTCGGCCATGCACAAGAGCAAGAAAGGAGGTAGGTTGTCTATTAGCGCGAGTAATACATTAGTGTCAATGTTCAGTGGGAAGGCATGAGCTGAGTTGCAAATCTTATACAGCCCGCAAATATGTAAACAAACTCTTTCTATCTTAATATAGAGACGCACAAACCTTTTGTGTGATCGAGAAAAAAATCAAGAAAGGAGTGAGATTACAGCCTTCTTAGTGCCAACGTTTCGTGGTTTTCATTCATTGAAATTGAGTTTGTTTTCTCTCGACTTCATTTTTGTTTTTGATGAGTTTTAGTTCCTTTTGTCTTTTGGTTTGGCTATTGTATTTGTGTGCGTACACGTCTCATAGCACTCCTTTATTAATAGAATTTAGCTCACTCTGGTGTTGGTTTCTTAAAAAAACAAATATGGTGTTGTCAAGATTTTTTTAATGTATTGGCTTAACGTTATATATGGCACATGCTAATATATTTTGTACACCCAAATGTAACATGAATATGATGTGACCAAAGTTAACTTGAGAAACAACAAGGATACTAATGTATTGAATTAGAAGAAAAAAAAAGGCATGATGAAGTTGTATAACAATGCTTCGATATAATTCGAACATGCTTCAAATTTCAAAAAATTGTACTAGTACATCATTATCCTTCATTTTTTTTTTAATCTTGTCCTTATAATTGGAGTGGTCTTTCTCGTTCATTTTTTTAATCTTGTTCTTATTCTTACCAAAATAATAGAAGTGGTCTTGCTGTTGGCATAAAAAATAAGAGGAAGTAAATTAGTAGGTAAACATATATACATACGTGTGATGTCGTGATGCTGAAGCAAATGTATAGCTCGAGATGTGAATATATTGTTTTTGTTTTTTAAGAAATATATACACGTCTTTTTCTCAATTATGGGCTTGGTGTACAAAATTCTTAAAAGTTTTTATAGTAGGGACTATCGAATTATGTGGTGTGCATGACTTCATGGATGAATCTTTATGTGTGGGTGTGCACGGTGTCTTACATGCATTTACTCTCTCCGTCAAAAAAAAATGCAATTTTAATTTAGGTTTTGGATAAGTCAAACTTTTTATGTCTTCAGCTATGAAAATATATTCCATGATCAATTTAGTGATATGTATTCAGTATCATAAATGTTTGTGATTTTTGTATATATTTAGTCAATTTAAAATTGTTTTACTCACTACTAAAAATATCCACTTCTATGACGAAAATATTAATGACGAATCCAAAATTGTCATAGAATATCGCTTTTTATGACGAATATTTACGTCTCGAAAAGTGAGAATTGTTTTTTTTTAACGGAGGGAGTATCACGTATGTATGCTGACGTTTCTTTCATGTCTGTTTCAAGTTACATTCCCCAAATATGATTGGCATGCCAGAAAGCAGCAGTGGCATGTTGTTTCTTTTTTTAAAAAAGAAAAGCAGCAGTAAACGGTAGTAGCACTCATATAAATAGTTTGAAGAGCTCACGCCTCCTGCCTGTTGGAAACGGAATAGCATCTCAGTATGCATACCTTGCCTACTGTGGGGCGTTACCAGCCCTATAAGATATATACATGCTGCTAGGCTGGTAGGAGATGAAGCAGCTAGCTATTTGATATTGCAACATTCTCTCATGTGTGACATTCTCTCATGTGTTTTGTTTGACTAGACCTTTGCATTTCTGAGAAGGTTTTGGTGTCTAATTAAGTTATTTATTTTAGGATATTGGTGCCCAATTAAAATATTTATCTTGGGATATTGGAGTACACCAAATTCGATGAGACGGAGACCACAAGTTCTACCATAGAATTTTTCGTGGTTCTATGAACTGTTCAGTGCAAGAACCTATTGACGGTTGATCAAAGAAGAATTAAGAGGCTGGTGCCTTATACATGCCCAACATTTCAATGCTTTCATTCATTGAGATCGAGTTTGTTTTCTCTCGATTTTTTTGTTGGGTTTTGCTACCTTTTTGTCTTTTGGTTTGGCTCAAGTTTTGTGTGCGCACATCTCATAGCACTCCTTTATTAATAGAATTTAGCACACTCTATTGCCGGTTTGTTAAAACAAAAACAAATATGGAGCAATCAAGATTTACATTGATATTGGCTTTATTATATGATACATGCTAATATTTTTTTTTGTATATAACCAAATACAAAATGAACATGGTGTGACCAGAGTTGACTTGAGAAATAACAAGGATAATGATGTATTGGTATTGGAAGAAAATGAATAACAAAGTTGTAAAACAGAACTTCGATACAATTCTAACATGCTTCAACAAAATTGTACTACTACATTATCATCTTTTCCTTCTTTTAGGGGTTGTTTGGTTTCTAGTTGTAGATTGCCACAACTAATCTTAGGCAAGTATGTCAAGCCACAAAGTGTACGGCTGGAAATTTTGAAGCCACACTTTACCTTGCCTATAAGAGAATCTACTATGACATACGGAGCTTAAAAGAAACTTGTCAAATCTTTAGGTGCCGAACAACCACTTGTTAGCTTTATCAAACTTGCATAAGGTGAAGTGTGGCTAGGAACCAAACACCCTCTTAATGTTGTCATTTTACCAAAATAAAAAAAACGCTAATATTATATCCAATTAGAACTGCTCGGCAAGTTCGCTTTATGCTCCATGGCAACGGAAATAATGACATGGTGACACAACCGATCAACAATTAAGAATGAAACAATAAGTCGCTGCATATATATTTGACCTTTAAGTTATGTACTCTTTATTTTAAAAAGACAATTAGTTGATTTGTCCGTACTAAGTTTTATATACTCTCTATTGTTTTTTTTAATAATTAGTTGATTTGATCGTATTGTTTAACTAGTGCAGTTTAAGTAGTTGTAGGTCTACTACTCGTCGGTAAATAAATAAAAGAGAAAAAGAAAGAGGGTTTGCTCTTGAGTGAGTGACACTAGTGAACAAACTCCAAGTAGAACTTGTGCATCTTAGAAAGGTTTTCTCACCATACACGATTTGTTATTTGATCATCCCTGTCAGCTGGTGTTTGCTTGTGGTCAATTACCTACTCGATGGTGTGGTCAGAATGATGAGACATGCATGTGCCCTGGCTCCTGATGAGAGCCTTATATTTTATCAAAATTTTTGTAACGCAAATTGGATTCAAATAAGTGGCAGTAGGTGCTGATCATCCGTACATCCTCGGTTCCTTCAGTTCGTCTGATATATGGTTATTGAGAAACTTGTGTTTCCAATTCAGAGTTTTCAGCTAGACACCTCCTTTGTTTCAGACGCTGTACATGCAGCAGCCTTGTTAACCTTGTCAAAGAAAAAGAAAAGGAAAACCTGGCCTCATGCACAATCCTGAATGTCGTGCAGTGTTTACCAACGCCTTATTTCTGACGGCGCGATGCAATCCAGCCGAAACCTTTTACGTGCTGCTCCACTTGTAGCGAATCGAAGCAGGTAGGCACGCGGACGATCGATGCAACCGTACGCGTACGTATCTGTCTCGTATACGACATGCTCTGCACGCATCGCAGGTTACTTTACCGAAGGTAGATACACACGTGTGTGATGTGTGGTCAAATACCGGTGTCGAAAGCAACGCTCCAAGACTAGTGGTTTGGCACGTTGCTCTCGCAAGTCAGACAATGCATTATGCATGGGCCGCCTCTAGATGCATGCAAACCTGATAACCCTTCCGGCCTTACAGCATGTTCGCTCGCTCGTGCACGATCGTGGATTATAAGCTGAAACAATATTTTTCTCTCACACTAAATCAGCCAGCAATAAATAATCCACGATCGTTTACGGCTTGCCGAATAGGCTGTTAGCCGTCCAGACACCACAAGGAAAAAGTGCCTGCTGTCTGCTGTCTCGCTGGCTAGGCAAAGCACCAAGCAAGGGAGCTTGCTCAACAAGAGATCGAGCAGTGTGAGAGGGATGCCAAAGGCTACCGCGACGACGACGATGATCCATATCTGAATTTGCTCTGAATTTCTGTTGGAAGCTGGAGACTGACCGTATATATGTCAGACATCAGGGAAATGTGATGCCCGCACAGGCGGCGTCGCCATTGGCTGCCGCCTTCTTGCTCCGGTTCTCGGGCTACCTCCGATCATGATGGGCCCTTGCGACCAACCAACCAAGCTTCTTTTAACTTGTTATATATATCGTC